TACAACACATCTACCCTGGGGCATGCTTGGGGTATCTCAAACACTTGGTCTTCAAACCAGAGCACCCAGATGTCATTAGCAGGAGCGGACGTGCCACAGTCAGGGTCAAACGAATCCTGGGTACATTATTCCCTGTGGGTATATGGAGGTTTCCTAACATGGGGGGTACCCCAATAGCTGGATGGTTTATTTCATGAAAAATCCTGCTAAAATGGATGATTTGGGGTACCACAATGACACTGCCCCGGACACAGGTGGGGTCAATGCATCTGAAACTAGGGAGGATGGCAAAAAATGGTTAAGAGTAGAACCAAAGCCACTACTCGGAGCGCCCCAAGAACTGGTATGCCAAGTCAGACATGCAGCATGCACATAATTTAAGTGTCGCGAATTTTCATCGAAAGAAATCACATCGATCAAAAACAGAAGAGCATCGTGACTAGTTACATGTATTTTCAAGTGACAAATTGTCATTATCTGACAACTTTTGAGTTTGGTCACTTTAGGCAGGTCCATTTTCTTTTACCTTTCATACCACTTCATACTTCTGGAACAAAAAGGAACACATAACCCACGACTCAATGCCTACGCATGGCGGTTTCGGTGGCTTTTGCCACCAAGGGTGTCATGGTGGCCGCTGGATCGCAGATGGGGCGGCCTGCCAAAAGTACCGAACAACACCGGTCGCGTAGATGCATACATACATTACATACACTGTGACACTGTATTACTCGATACTACTCTACGCCACGGTACATTCCTGTATATACATTGGTTGATTATTGTATTACATCGATTCATATTATCTACATTAATTAGATTGGAATAATGTGGCATAATTAATTATTGGAATAATGTATACCCTACTACTATATTATGCTACATTAATTTCAAACGATCTGAAACTGCCCTCAGCTGGTGCAAGAAAATTGGCCTCATCCCAGTCACTCAGCTGATCGCATATTGAATCCATGGAAGCGTTATTGAACATGGTAATGTTCATCTTTTTCCCATCAATATAACCATTTTCAATAGTTGCCATATTTTAGAATGATATTGATCATTGATCACATAGTTGCCATATTTTTGAGTGTGGGTCAGTGGGTCCGGCCGTAAATTCCATCGATGCTCATGTCAAGTTGTTCGCCACCAGGTTCGGCTTTGTCCAAAGATAGGGTACCCCAGAAGTCTAGTGCTTTGTCATCGTGTTTCACCAAAACATTGCCCGAGGTATCGGTACATACCATTTTTCGGTTGGACTAGGTTATATATGGTTATATAATTACCCCAAAATCTGCCGCTTCATCATATTTAAACTACTTCATAGCCATTTACTGGTTGGTGGTTTCAACCCCCTCTGAAAAATATTAGTCAATGGGAAGGATTATCCCACTATTATGGAAAATAAAAATCATGTTCCAAACCACCAATCAGATAGTCATAATATCATGAATCACCCATTGATCACCAGTGATATTAAGCCAATGATTAACCATCATATAACCATTATATAACCGTTGATTTAATATAATGATGATAATTCCTAGTAATAATGGGTACCAATGGTTGTATAACCATTATATAACCATTGATTTATCACTTGGGGATATATGATGATTTATAGTCAATTCCTCCGGGTACCACTTTTTTTCCATGAAACACTGGGCTCTCCGCCATCACCAGGGGATCCCCACCTGCAGGTGTCGGATTTTGGTTCCAGGGCCGCCGTTGGAGCCGTTGGAGGTCGGATTTCCAGGGACCTGGGCGTTCCAATGGAGCGACGCCACTCAAAATATGCTGGTTGAATCTGGTTATTGGCAGTTATACATCTTATACTACCAAGGTGATTGGGTTGAATCATATTCAATCATATGAAAAATGAATATCTCAATATCGAAAAACGGTGCAAAAAAATGATCAGCCATATTGTTTAGGGACACCTATCAGGTCACCTATCAACCAATATTTCTTAACGGCTGGGTTTCGATGATCATCTGATCTTGCCAGGTTCCAAATTTTTGGCATCGAACTTAGGGCTGCTACCCTCTGGTAATGACTAACATAACTATGGAAAATCACCATAGAAATAGTGAATTTTCCCATTAAACATGGTGTTTTTCCATAGTTATGTAAATGTTTACCAGCGGGTAGGGCTGCTATATATCCCAAGAAGCAGCAAGATTTACAAGTTTTACAACAAGAACATAATGATACACCACTGAAATTTAGCCTACCCCATTGAATGTTGAGACAAACCCTCAAGGGGGTTCGTCTCGACATGGGGAAACAGGTTTTTCATCGAAGCAACAGGTCATGAAACATGCGGACAGAGCCAAGCGGGATGCCCCCATCAATAAAATTGAGCAATGTCCCAAGTAATGTCCCAAGTAATGTTGGTAAATGAATAAACAATGCAATAAACCAGCCTTATTTTGATGGTTTATACACCCATAAAAATGGTAAAATTGGGGATGGTTTACTATTTCTGTATATCAACATTAGTTGATATTTCCCAATGATTAATCACTCTCCCAACAATAGATACAGTAATAATTAGTAATACATAGTAATACTTTGACATATGCAGAAATTACTTTGAAGAAACACATCACCCACGCATGCCCACGCATGCCCACGAACCTAAACAAGGTTCACCCAGAAACACTTGGACTTGGATCATCTGGCGAACCAAGCTTTACCCATATTCTTGGTCGTTAACTCCCATTTTGTTTGTGAACTCCCCATGTTTGATGGTTAAACCGTGTCAACTCTCCATGTTTAATGGTTATAACTCATGTAACTCATGTTAACACCCCCATGTTAGATGGTTAAATCATGTTAAATCAACATTTCAGCAATGATGGCCCAATGATTTTCAGATATTTTGGATCATGCTTTACCAGTATTGGAAAATTAATCATCAACCTGGTGACAATTGAGAATGAGCATATATATATATATATATGGGTAAATTATAATATTTCACTAACCTGAAATAAGGCCATTTGGGGATGATTCCCCTTACTAACCATCATTCCCAGTGAGGTCGCAGTGAGGTCGTTATAATTTACCCATATATATATATATACATAACATATTTAATCAGAATTTCACCATGTCCATCTGGTTAGATCTCAATTCTTTTTTGAGCTTCCGGTGATGGGCGCCCCGACTTGGATTTGGACGACAACATCTGGGCAGTCGAAATGCTTGGGATCAATTGGGGAATGCCTTGGGAAACTGCTGGGTGCCAGGTATGTAATGAGGATATTGGACACAACTTTTATGATCATGTAAGATATACAACCACGGCCACGGCATGGTTTTTTGGGTGCATCTGAAAATAGTGTCTGCTCCCAAATGGATCCAAATAGTCATTTCAATGGGACATGTGATCATAAAGAATCAAGTTGTTTGGGAGTACACTATTTCAGACAAACCCACACACACACATATATGTATATATATATATATATACATACACAGTATATAATATATGACAAAAGATTAAGGTCTTGGAGTATGCCATTTTGAGACGTAGCTACATGTCGTATGTGCATATATATATATAATTATATTACATGTATACATATAGAGAATTGTAGAGAGATACATATTCATATATAATTATTCATACATCTATTCACCTGGTTTTCTTCATCACATACAGTTTATGTGGAACACCACAATTTTGACCAAGCGAATGAAGCAACTGGACCAGTCCTGTATCAACAGCTTGTGAAGAAAAGCGTGCGCAGTTGCATGCGTTGAAGATTAAGATTTGTATGTATAAAATTATATGTTGTATGTTCCATTTCACTCCAGTGCATTGCAATGTTATGACCGGTTTGAAGGTGATGGTTGGAACTGTTCCACTTTGAAGGAGTTCAATGGAAGGACTCAAACTGAGCAAACTTGGCAGCAAAAGAAACACTTTGAAGGACACGTGCATCAAGCAACAAGTAAATACCTGCAACACATTCTTTCCAGAATTCAAATATACATACCAATTTTTCCGTCTAGTAAAAACTGGGCGGGTTTCTCGATTGCCATGTTTCACCGGGCTCTACCACACTCAGCTTGCTCTGTGAACATCTCCATTCTCAACTCATGTCCTGAATTTTCAGGGGTTACTCGGTTACTCCTGGACAGTGATTGCGATCTTCAAGTTGTTGTCAACCTCTTGGAAACAACATGAAACAACCAAACATGGCCCCAGACCCATGAGAGCAACCCTGGAACCCACACCTACTCCTGGCTGCATCAGGCAAACTTGGAGGAGGCAACATGCCCTGGCTCGAGGTTCTGGTGGTTGAACCACACAGCTCCGATCACGTCACTCTGAGTGTTGTTGAGGGTATATACATGTAGTATGAGGGTTCCTGAAATCCCAAATCATACATTTCAATTGGGTTTTATTCATGAACCATCCAGCTATTGGTGTACCCGCATTTATGCATTTATGGAACCCCATAATCCCGTATATATATATATAATGCACTATGAGCATCAAATACATCAAGTATTGAAGTAATTGGGAGTTTCCATCAGAGAATCAGCTGCCAAGGCGAATTCGAGGGATCCTGGGCTCGAAGATTTAAAAATCTGTTCTTTGAAGCATGATGAAGCATGGAAGATGCCGGAGAAGAACCAAGATGATGAGATTTTTCAGAGATTCACCCCAACTGTTGGGATAACAAAGCCATGAAATGTCATTCTAGGGCCATCAATTGACGCAAAAAAGCCAGTGAGACGGGTGCGTTTCCTAATCCTACCACACACGGTTAGACTTTCGCTTCAGGTATTGTTTTAATGGCCAAACATAAACATACATTAAAAAAACATAACAGCATCCTGGTTGGTTTATTCAACCCCTTTGAAAATATTAGTGAAATGGGATTATTGTTCCCAATATATATGGAAAAATATATAATGTTCCAAACCACCAACCAGCATCATACTGTCAAGCCATCAACCAGGCATTTCACCAAGCCGCGTCTTCAGGAAATGTCATGAGTCCTGGGGCGCCGCGCTTTGAACACCTTCAAATGACAACCACTTCGAGGTCGCTTCTGTCGCGCAGAGCCTAGGGGAGGACAATTTACTAATAGGCGTATGCAAGGATTACAGTATTAGTTGATACTATATTGATACTAATATGGTTGATCTAATATGGTTGATACTAATGGGACTAAACATCTTGAAGATCAACCATATTAATCCACCAACGTGCATCAGCATGGACGATCCAACGTGCATCTTGCTGCGCCACAATGGACCATCAGAGTGCCATGGGCTGGTGCAATGAAACTTGGGCATATTAGATATACATAGATATACTACATATACGATCATATACGTCCGGTCCAAAGCCATCTACACATTTTCGGGATTTCCGATGCCAGGTAACTGCTTCGTGGAGGATACCTTTCAATTTTCCGCTGGATATTCTCCTCTTTTTGGCATCCAAGCGCCGCGCCTCGGAACGCCTTTCTCTTTGGCAGGGGCTCCGTGGGTTCCGGCGCCTTTTTTGGGTTGGTGAATTGGAGGCCCTGCACCAGGTCTCGGGTGAATTGGATGCTTCATTTTTCGCGGAAGAGATGGGGAAAATACAGTTGAAACATGTTGAAAGTGAATGAAACCTCGCAAAAACCATTGATTCTTGGAATCGGATTTGGATTTGGATTGATTGGGAAGAAAATGGACCAGCCTTTTTGGTGTCTTTTTCAAGCAGTTATGTCAGTGGGAAACCTCAGCAATATTTGGGACTCATCTTTTGTGACACCAAGGACCCAGCAACTCGCCAGCTGTGAATCCAATGCATTCATGCCTGTGTGTACAGCACGCCGCAAGCAAGTGCCTTCCTGTGCATACACTACATGTAAACTCTATATAGTACATACATGTACATACTGTACCTGATCTTGAGTTTGGGATTCATTGTTTTGCTTCATGTACACACCCATCCTCGATTTGACAAAATATAAACTTGGACTATCCTCAAAAAAGTAAATTATCCAGAATTCGATCTAGAAATGGCAGGATGACGTTATACAGCATTCAGTGTATATAGATGCATACATACATATTATATGCATGTATATGTGTGTAATATATATATATACAGTACATACACTGTAGATGGTCACATTCACAACTACAAACTCAACATCACCCAACGGATCTAGCCTGCACCCAGTTGCTGACCGGCTCCGCTTTGGCCGGGGTGGCAGGCCCAGCTGTCCGAAGCGGCAACGGCTCCTAGGAGAGGTGGGCAATGCTGATTTCACCATGAAAAATTGTCATGTAGTGGGCTATGAATGGGAATACCAGGGGATACATGATATATATAATCATATATATATATATTATTATATGTATTATATATATATATTATATGTATTATATATATATATATATTATATGTATTATATATATATATATGTACTGTAGTTAGATTCTATAGATAGATGTATATGTTTAGATATTAACATAACCAACAATTAATATGATACCATGAGGTTTCCCCTCCCAGTTCCCTAGAATTTTTTGAGCCACCAGCAGCAGCCAGTCTCGGGACAAAAGGTCACGCATCTGTGAAATTGAACATATAGTCTGGCTGAAAACACTGAAAGCTAAACTATTCCATCAATTTTGTTTTCATCATATGTTCATTTTCCCACAATTTAGCTATGTGTCAATTCCATCATATTATTATACAATTTGATCAATTTTGTCATTAACTAGCATCCGGGCCTCATCTTGAGCCAACTCGAAACTTCCAATTCCAAATGTCTTCAATCAATCCACTTAGCCTCCCCGTGCTCCTGACTCCATCTTGACGACCTCCTGCAATTATGAGAGGCTTTGGCACCGGATCCTTGAAGCTATTACATGCATTTAAGACGGAACGATGGAACTCAATTGAAGTCGACAATAGCGCCTTATGGGTTTGTCTGAAAATAGGGTTCCCGGAAATTTGAGAATCTATCATCATTTTCCCTATTACAATGGCATGGTTCCCATAGGTGGAAATCCTTGCTTGCAATCATCATACCGCCACTTGCGGATGATTCCGAAACTGATGCGTCTCCTGACTTGTTATCATTCTAGTGAAGTCGAATAGTTCATCCAGATCCCATTTTTGGATATTTTTGGGTGAATAACCTTGATACCATTGCCAATCTTAGATACCCTGCAAAAACAAACTGAGCTGGTTCGTAGATATTCCTATTTCTAGCGAAAGAATGCAACAGATTAAAGGATTCAACTACCCATCCAGTTGGTTAACCTTGATACCCTGCAATTCAAATTCTGCAGCATTCGCCGGTAGCACGCCTGGCGACAGAAAACCTGCCATCAGTGTCGAAAAACTCTGCAATGCCTGGCTGCAGAGAGTTCTAAAGACAGGATCAATAGATCTAGATATATCTAGATACAATGAGATATATCTGGATACCCACTTCAAATTCGATTGCTGGCTTGATTTGCCTGTCAAAATCAACGTTGGAAACCAATATTTTTCCCTTGAACCTACGCTACGCCGTAAATTCCGGGATTCTGCCAGTTCACCTTCTGTCATCCCCAAACCCATTGGATCCTATTGGCGCAGGTTGATAGATTTGATTAATGATTTGACAGGAATTCCTGCAGCGGATTATAGTGATTATTGTAATTCAATGTAATTCATATAATTTGATAACATCAACATTATAATAAACTATATAGTAATTCATATAACATTATGATTGTTAATGAATGTAACATAAATGATTAGATATTACTAGTAATTCAAATTCATTCCAGCTACATCACCGCCTGGTTAAGCCCAAAATTTCTGCAGTGCCGACGTTTTCTGGGTCAACACTTTGCAACCTCCGAGCCAGCCTGAACAATAGGAAAGTTGTTGGGGATGATGAAAACAATACCTACCAGTAGTATCCAATATTATCCAATAGTTGTTGATCGTTCCTCCAATCTTTGGAACACCACAGGACCAAAGGTCTGCCAAAGGTCTGCCGGTCTGCCTTTGCATCTGCCAAAAAGATCTTCCACGTAGTCTCCTCGGAACACAGCAACGGAGACTTCGAGGCAATGATGGCGCTGCAAATCAATATCGATATATATATATATACCGTATCTCGCGCAACAATCACGACACAGTCAAGCATCTTGAAAACTCAGCAGTCATCCCATCGCATTGCGAGAGCGGACTGCAGCACAATCATGGACAATCTTCATATTATTGGATCAACTTTGGATGATTCTGACCATACTTCCAAGCCACGGATTTAGGGCGAGAACTCCTAGTGACTGGAGAAGGAACATTTCCTAGAAAAGATGACATGAAGCATGACTGGTGATCTCAGACTAACGGAAAATGAGAAATTTGATGTCATCGTCTCATTCTTATGCATTGATGGAAAGTCAGAAATCTCTGAAACCACCAGCGACTTTTTTGATCGGTGACATGCGGTTGGTTGAAAAACTCCGTAGAAACTTGTCTGATGCTTGCATCCTCCTGTTTATCGTAAAGTACCCTCTGGTTATTTAACCTAGCCATGGAACATGGCCCATTTATAGATGGTTTACCTGGGTTTACCTATTAAAAATGGTGATTCTCCATGGCTATGTTAAATAATCAGAGGGTAGAAACTGTCATTCCCCAGTTCCCCACGATTTTCGTGTTTTGCCTTGACCGGTCTACGTGTTTTTTGATGTGTTTCCTATGAGCCAAGGCCGGCTTTTTGAACGGCATTCTGTCAATGTCACGGCATCAAACAACACAAGATACACAATCAACTAACCATATATTAATATGTTCATAATATATATATATATATTAATATATACATATACATACACATAATTATTGTACACTCATATGAATAGTCGTTTCAGATCACTGAAGGATAAACAAATCATGGAATCTCATGCAAATTCTATCAAATTTTATACATACAATTACAATCAATTACATAACGATAGTTACAATGGTTTCAAACCCCTGAAAAATAGCAAATTCTTTGGGGGGATCATCATCCCGTGCTTGAGGAACGGAGAGAAAGAGCAACCATCAACCTGTAGTGTGTCTGGATGGAATTGATCGGCCAGTTCGTGCGCAATGTACTTGATGTCATGATATGCAAAAGATGAAAGTACTTCTTATCTATGTAAATACAATATACTTGATGTAATATACTTGATATTACTTGATACACCTGTACTTTGGTTCAGGTCCAGACCTCCCTTACAGTAAGGTAGGCCACCAACCAACATGATATCTCAACGTGGACCCAAAGTGAGCAATCCTTCCATCAGATGAGGAACTCCCCGCCATGCTTGCCGGGGGCAACTACCAGTTGATAGTCATAAATCGAGTCATTTTTCTCATCAGAAAAATCGTCTTAATATGTCTTAATGCCAAAAAATCGGTGAAATCGGACCACCGATCCCTGGACATCCCCGGACACAACGAACTCATGCTGACGGCTTTTGGCACGGACATTTCTTCTCGAAGCCCCGTCGCGAGGTCATCCAAGATCCTGACTGAAGCTGCAAGGTCTCCATGGGGATCATAGGGGATGGGTCCATGGGGGATGGGTCCATGATGTAACATGATAATCATGATATAATTTTAGCTTATTGGATGTTATTGGATGTAATTGGATCATGATAATCATAATAATCATGTTAACGTTTATTGGATGTTATTGGATTCATAAACCAACTTACAATTGGAGGGGCCACCAATCGTACCATCTTCGAGGTTTGAGTGTTTCTATCTCCAGGTGGCGCGCGGCGGGCATCACCAGTCAGCTATGTTTTCTGGTAATCCCTATTCCTTATGGGATCCCTATGAATTACAGCTTAAATCCCCATGATAGGATTATAATCCTAAATATCATACTGTAAGAACAATATATACACATATATACATATATATATATATAGATGATGAACAATTCCCAACAATAAATTAATCACTGAAGCATGTACTCTTGAGTTACTAATCACCATTCTTGGTAATTCATAACCCCAAACAATTCTTTCCCACTAGTTGATATTTCCCAAAAATCACAGTAACCCATCATAGTAACCCCCAAAAAAGATCAACTAAGACATTCGCAGTACATTTTTCTCACTATTTTCGTGGGATTCTACGACCCTCCCAGCCCACCCGCTGCAAAAAAACCGCCTGCGCGCAGCAGTGAAGGCGCCCGCGGTCAGGGAACCCAGCAGTGCGGACTGCAATGCCAACTCATCTGGGACGAGTCGGCTGAGATGCTGCGCTGACAGCCTGGGATGTCGCTTGGGTGAGTGTTTTATGGGGAAAACAACTGGTAAAAACAAAAGGATCAAAGTGATTTAACACACGGTATATGTGCATGGGCGATTTTTTTTCAAAAATGTCTGGATTTGGACAAATCTGACGGGTTTACCGTGATGTACCCATCAATTATGGAACTTTGAAAAGGAATTTGATCACACACGAGACTCTTAGGTGCCTTTTTGCAGACAAATTGATCGCAGGCGATTCTTGTTGGAGTTTAATCATCCCCAACATGGAGGCCAATTATTTTGAGCCTCAGCCATTTCAATGCGAGGATGACTCCTATCTCAATAGACTTTCTAGATCTTGTGTGTGTGTGTATATATATACACGATTATATACGTATATATGTTTCCCCTATATATTGATACAGACCGCCTTGGAAACACTCGTTTGGTGTTGGAACTGTTCTTTTGGAATCTCCTCAGGTAGTGGTAACTTACTTTGGAGGCACCAGATCACTGACCAGGAACACTTGAGTGCTTTGTCGCCAAGCGCTCCCAGCATGGCATGCGCGCAGCCTTCCATGACTTGTTGAAGTGTGGGGTAGCAGCTCTTGGATTTGAATGTCTTGGATAGTGAACAAGCACTACGATGAAAAATGTCGGAATCTGCCTGCCGAACATCTCAGGGATCCGATGACCATAGCTTTGGGGCTGGGAGAGATGGGCCCACCCAACATCAGCCCCACATCCCGCCGAAACCAATCATCGAGGCACAGCGAGTTCACAAAGCTGACACCCGGCTTTTGGTGCATGAGCGGCAGAAGTTCTTGCATTTCAACTGCTTCCCGCCAGGCTTGGGCCATGGGCGCCATCGCCGAAGTGATGGCCTAGGTCGAAACCACCAGTCCAAGACAAAGTTCAAAGGGGCCTGGGACATTCTATCACCTTTGTATCCGACAAAAGCAGTAAACAACATCAAACAAAAACAGGGCACGTGACATGCATAAATACCGATGGATTTGGAAAAACAAACAGCCACCCAGCATCATCATATTCATCATGATCATACTGATCATCATCATGATAATCACCATGATCATCATCATGATCATGATCAACATAATCATCACCACCATCGTGGGCCATCATGATCATTAATCATGAATCATCATGATCACGATCATCATCACCATCAGAATCATCATGCTCGTCATCATGAGCATGCTCATCACCATCATCACCATCATCACCATCATCACCAGCATCACCATCATCACCATCATCACCATCATCACCATCACCATCATCACCATCATCACCATCACCATGATCATCATGATAATTATCATCGTGATCATCATTGTCATGATCATCATCATGATCACCATCATGATGATCATCATGATCATCATAATGATCATCACCATGACCATCATCATGATCATCATCATGATCATCATCATGATCATCATCATGATCATCATCATGATCATCATCATGATCATCATCATGATCATCATCATGCTCATCATCATGACCATCATCATGATCATCATCATGATCATGATCATGTTCATTTCATCATTAATAAGGATTAACACACCCAAGTATACTGTAGATGGTTCATACTGTAGCATGAACAGCTCATCTGTGGCCCCCTAGGTCTTGAATTTTGACCCGTGCCCATATGGATTCATGATGGTATCCCCATCGAATGTTGATGGCTATAGCATTCATATCCCGATCTATTCATGATTATATCCCTTACAATCTCTATTCATGAACTGATACATTATACAAATGTCTATACCAACATGCATGCATATATATAATATATATATATATATATCATGTACATATATAGTACATGTGCATCCACATTCCGAATGTACATCTATTCTGTATTATGTATATATATATATAATATATACATAATATAACTAACATACCAAAGTAACAGAGCAAGGGGAAAAGCTCCATGACTCGGTGCCCGCACACTGAGCAAGGAGAAGTCTGCCTGGATCCGCCAAGTATTGAGCCTCGGCCATGGCGTTGTGCCCATCAACCCTTGGGATTCAACTGATTCAGCGTGGGGTTTGACCCAAAAGTTGGCGTTGTATGTGAAAACGGGGGCGGTTGAAGAGCCGTGGACATTCATGGAATGTCCATGAATGTTTCCAATTTTGGTGCTGAACCATCAAACATCGGGTGTAGCTGTTGATTTGACAACATCAGGTGTTGACAGATTCCCCCCCCATTCCAAGGGTGCCCAGAGGTACCCCATCCCTGTGGATTTGCTGTGAAACCTTCACTGGTGCCCTCTCAAGATGTCGCAAGCAGATCATCGTCGGAATGAACAGATGGGTGAAACAGCTTCTTAAACTTTTTTGTGCGGACACGGCACACTTATAAATCTTATAACGATCTAATGTCTAATCGATTCCCGTCAAACCTGATGTAAAGATTTCTTGGAGATGCGAAGCGAAAGGGAGAGTCTTTTCAGCTGGGTCTCAGCCCCACCATGGAGAACATCAAAATTTTGACAATTTGATGGAGTTGAAGTATTCAAAGTTCAATATATCACACATATGATTGATAAACATTCGGAGTTTATTTTACAATATTTTACATACTCCATACTTGGCTCTATTCGGTTGGCCAGAAGTGCACCATTTCTGCTTGATATCTCGTCCAAGCATCTCTGCCAACAAGCCTGCAGAAAGCGACAGCTGCAAAAACATCTGTGCCCCGGACAAGCTTGCAACAATCACTTGGAGGTGTCCATAAATGGGTGTACCCTAAAATGGGCGGTTTATACTGGAAAATCCATCTATAAATGGATGATTTGGGGGTAACCCCATGGTAGGAAACCTCCAATTGGGTTAAATCTTCTCATTTTGTTTTGGAGCCAAGGCACGTAAACAACTTTGAACTCAGTAAGCCAGCAAGCTTCATAGTTTCTGGACTAGGGAAAGTCGGAAAGATCCAAAACAGTAACCAGCCAATCATGTAGAAATACATTCAACTTCCTTCCATCAATGTCCGGTTCTCCTTTTGAGGTGGTAACTTGACTGCAAGGCCGCCAAACTTTACCCCGTACTGCCCTGACCTCTGAAGTATATAAGTGTGGATAATACCTGGATGACTTGTGAATCTAGGACCAAACCTACCAAAATTCACAAGGGTGACCCCTTGTTAATTGCAATCCTAGGGCTTACAGAAAACACCCCGTCACTTCTTACATCACCTTCCCGGATCGTCGCAGGACCTGTAGATCGGCACCACTGTGATGTCTCTCCCAGACTTGTAACAGCTGAGGTGTGAGAAATGACCTGATGGTCGCAGTTAAAAGTTGCGGACCAGCCACTGCTTCAACTTACCAATGACGACTTACATGGATATGATATACCATTAGCCTCAGGTACTAGTTGAACCTGCAATCGCAAAGCAGCATTTTGTTGGAAAATCATGGCTGCCAGGAGAGGATACTGATGTGTCAGATTGCCAGACAGTACCCAACAACTAGGGATCGTGGTTGAAACCACCAGCTACACTGAGACTATGAGTGAAAGAAACCAAATCATACAAAGGATATATTTGGAACAATGGATTGGGCCTTGGGTATGGATTGGTCCTCTACGGACAGGGTCATATCAACCTTTGGTGAGGTTCACCACGGATTACAGTAACCACCAATCTTTTATATTTTCGGTGATATTCAATACCCCAAGAAAGAGAAATATCGAGAACCCTGAGGGTAACCCACCCTTTTGTCACCCCCCAATTCATGTATGTTTGGAACTGATAGGAGTTTCAGCTAATTGAGTGTCACTTCTTCATAAATCCAGCGAAAGGGTCGGCCTAATTAAAAAATCATGTTTAACCCCGAATTGACCCCACTCATCTCCTCTGCGTGTTTTTTTATATAATCAACCCTCCCAAAATCCTCCATGGACCTCTAAAATTGTCATTTTCAATTCCAACTTAACGGGGTCTGAAAATGAGGCGTATATCTCCATAAAAGTGACCATTTACTAGGCCCATAAAAGTGACCATTTCATATAGGTAACATGACATGTCATAACCCATAGATTTCGGATGGTTTCCCCCTACCCAGCACCCAGGAACGTCAGCATCAGAGAGCGATCGCAAAATGGCCAAGGATCTGGGCGATGGCCAAATGATGTGAGAACTTGAGTTTGACTGGTTTATAACCAGTTATATACAAGTTATCTATGTGCTAATCTGATATAAACCAATAAAACAAATTCTTGCTGTATATCAGGTTATGTCTAATATAAGCCAAATGATTCAAATGATTGGCAATAAACTATGGTAGCTAATGATGTGATACTAGCCAATGATTAACTTATTTATTTGGTATATAAAACAGTAAGCCAACGAATATGTATAACATTTATTAGTTACATATGGTTCTATCACATCAATCGGGTTCTTATGTAACACCCATATAATATATATATATATATACATACATATCTAGGCATATTTCATTCCATGTATAGAATCGTGGTATTTGTCGCAAGAGAAAAATGCTGAACAGGTGGACACCGAAAAAAAATGATGCGGAACGCGTCACACGAAAATCAACAGCTGATGAGTTGTTGGTGGTCACCTGACTGTGGGGGTTGACTCCTCATATTTTTTTAAATAAGTTTTATATATGTCCCATCCCCATTAACATCCCATTGAATCACAATTTTTGATACAGAATCGATCGTTTCATGCAAAATATCCTTTTGCAACAAGTTGAAACCACCGGGACAAAAAACCTCCCGTGCCACCTCTTCCACTGCCAGGCATTCTGACCTTGGTGGACAGCCAAGGACTTGAGCTTCTCTGAAAATATTGGTAAAGCCTCCAAGTCCAATGGTTAACTGGCGGGTAAATATGAGTTTGGTAAGGCCTTACCAATATAATATTGGAAAATGATAAGACAATATTGGTACAGGCTCCAAATACATTTTCCCTATTGACTGGGGGATAAACTTCCCCATGTTGGTAGCTGAATCCCCAATCTTTGGGAGCTGAATTCACGTCCCAGCGACAGGCTCCCAGGAAGGCATTGTAGGTGACCAGGTTTTTTTCCACCTGCTGCTTGCCGGCGCACAGCAACAGAGACCTCAGGGCGCGTTTTCTGAAGGTTCCAGTAATGAAGACTAATGGCTATCACCTATGTATCTATGTATCTAATCTAGTCTGGAAATGATCTAAGCGAATCTAATCCAATCTAATCTGATCTGATCTAATCCAGTCTATCTGCCTATATCTCTGATCCAATGAAACTATTTAATTGTACATTGTATATCTAGACTCCTGTGAAGAACTGGGTCAGCTCAGTGTCGCATACCTCAAGACACATCAGGATTCTTTGAAGTAAACATTACCCCGGTAGCGGCACCTGGTGCGGAGCCGAAACTCGGCTAAAGGGAATCATCTTTTCCCATTGATGTTGGCTCCATTTTTGTCGGTTCACCTACCCATTTTGGTAATTTTGGGTATTTTGCAAAATGGGGGACGGAGTTTGAAGCGAATGGCTGTAGCCATGGAGAGAATGAGGCTTCAAAACCGTGGGATGGAGCAAGAGTGCATGGGGATTCTTCCAAATATTCCTGGCAATTCTTCCAAATTGGTGGATTATCCCAAAGTTCCCCTTGGGCGGTACCATTTCTTGAAAAACTTTTTTGCTAGATCATAGCTATTGAAAATGGCCATTTATAGTGAGTTTTCCCATTAAAAATGGTGGTTTTCCATAGTTATGTAAACGTTTACCAGAGGGTATTAGAGAATGAAGTCATCCCATCCGCCTAATACCAAACACCACCCAGAAACCATGGTTCACTAGGGGATTTACACCTTTTTTTGTGGTACCACACAAAGGGGCTGATGAATATGAATGGGGGATGGGAGTATCGATGACAATGTCCATCATTACAATATCCCACTATAGTTGACTGTATATGTATATATATATATATTACTATAAAGGCCATTCATAATATTCATATCCAATATAAATAGCCTCTGGTAATTTAACAGTTTGCTATTGAAAATGGTGATTTTCCCTCGTTTTTTGGCGCTGTTTACGAGAGGCTAATCCCATCATATTGGCATTCCAGTGACAACGCTGGCTCCCACTCGGCGGCTTTCTCGCATGCACTCACCGCTGCGCTGCATGTGATAACATTGGGATGCCTCGGGTGGGGAAAAGTCTTCGCACGGATCGAAATCTATGTATATAATATGTATCTTTGGGAATCAACCCCCAACAAAATGGTGGGGAAATGTCTTCCAATCCATTTTGTGTTGCGGGTTGATTGGAAGGAATCTATTATCATTGAGGAGTACTACCCAAAATGCCAGTTCTTCCAACCCTGCAAAAACATATGGTCATTTTCATGTCTACAGATGGAACTGATTATCCAATCACATTTCCTAGTCATTTTGGACATATCTCATGACTCATTTTGTGGGGCTTTGCCAATTTTGACCGAGGGCAAACCTTTGAACCAACACTAACACCCATTTTCTTGGATGATACCACAATTTTGTTGGTTGTATCCACACTTGGGTCTGCAATCCTATGGATTTAGGTATTTAGGTGTGAACCCAAACCCCAGCAAATCATATGACCACCATGGGTTGATATGACCACTAGTTTCTTGACTATATCACCATCATCCTTTGTCTGGCTAAGGCTAAGGTATGTCTCAAATTTCGGTGCCAAATAAAATAGCCCCACTTATTGGGCAAATCGGCAAATCATGTTCTCCTTCAAGAATGACCAGTGAGTGGACCATATGTGCCACATATGTTGGGGTGTCCTCCATTTTGAGATGCACCCATACTACAACCGCACTTCATATTTTACCCTCTCGTAATTTTTTGCAGTTTGCTATGGAAAATCCACCATTTACTTCTAGGATTTTACCGGCTCCCCGAGAGGTCGGCTCTCAACTGTTGGGAAAAAGACGAGGTGACGGGGTGTTACAGAATGAATAATTAGTAATGACATTTCCCCAAGTATATTCGTCAAGAGTGGACAACTTGGTAAATAAAGAGTGGATCGGTGGTTTATCCCTTTATTTATAGGGTTTTGTAATTATTCAAGGTGGTGCAGGATTTCGCAACCATCCACAGTATCTATTGCTAATTTTTATTTTCTCCCCGACAAAATCCCGACAAAATGTCGCAGCTATTATATAATCATGATTGGGCACTATTATCAAAATAGCCATCAATCCCTAGTGTTAAGGAAAAACATCATGCAAGTAACAATTATTAGCCAATGTTAGTGAAATACCCAGAAATCATTATTCGCAGCCATGTAGGATATAAGCATATTCATTAATCAGCGATAATCCTTATACCATTCAGTCAACCATTATTGATAAAATTTCATGACATCAATCAATCAATCAGTATTTAATCGTAATGACTAGCATAATGACTTCGATCAGTTACCAGTATTTGTAAAATACCCATTAATCACTAGTAACATGCCAATTTTTCATTGACCCACTATTAGTAACATATTCATGTATGTAAAATAGCCGCGAATCCCTATTATTTACCATTTACATACAAATAACAATTATTAATCATTAGTAAAATGCCCATTAAGCATCATTATCAACCATTTATATAAACATACCCATTCTTAATGATTAGTGTACACCACATCCAAGCCACAGACTTTCTGCTGCAGCCTCCTGTTGCAAATGCAGGGCCCAGGTCCATTGACTGGCCTTTTCCTCAGACCAACGAATGTGGTGAATCATGGTTTTTAAGTAAATACTGTGGATGGAAGAAATCCTGCACCACCTTGGATGGTTGAAACCCTATAAATAATAGGATAAACCACCTATCAACTGGTGCAGGATTTCTTCCATCCACCGTAGTATGTATTATGTACACACACATGTATATATATATATATACACATCCCAGGGTAAACATACGTAAACTAGCGAAAAGCCATGCTTTTCCCAGGAAGATTATCTACACATGCTTTCCACATCTATGTTGGTTTACCTAGGGTATGTATATATATATATTTATACACATAAATTCATGGATATCATACATTGACGGATACCACCTGGTCCGGAAAGAAACTGAGTACCAGCTCTTGGTTCCACCTAGTTCTTGTTCCAGGACATTTGTATCTGTGGTAAGAGCCCATTGATGAGCGCATGTGTCTTCAATCCCAATAGACATCTGGAAAATGTGTCAAAATTGGATACCCCAATAGTTGGATGGTCAATACTAAAAATAGACTAAAATCTGTGGTTTTCCAGGCCTTTAATTTTGACCCCTGGAAAATGGAATATCAGTGGCTTCACTGTGCCAAGCGACACAGCTGCTGATGGCAGCATTGTAGGCCACCAAATTCCCTTGCAGCTGCTGCTCGCCTCAAACTGCTCAGGGTCTCCGCACTGGAGGGGTGGACCAGGAACCAGACCACCTAATTTTTTCGTTGGCTGTACCATTGAACACCTTCAGACACTAGTATTATTAACATCCGTTCAATCTCACTATTTCTTGGCCTTCCCACATTACTAGATGTGCGGGCCCGCCACTCTATGAAATGTACCACAATATACAGAAATATATGGGATTTTGACCACTCACAAATTGTGTCCCGCACCAGCAAGTAGATATTGGATGATTAAACCACTTAGACAGTCAATTAAAACCTATTCCAAGCCCATTAAATAACCCACTATTTCCTAGCCATGAATGTTGTCTGAAAAGTGGGAACCCAAAAATCACCGGTTGAGAGAAAAAACACCAGACCTATTAAAATGGCCTCGTAGAACACCAATTCATGAAACCATGAAAAAAGCAATGAAAAACACCCCATCCACCAGTGAGTATCCCCATGAAAAAAACCCATCAAACCCCATTAAATTGGTACCATTTAAACACACTAAAATCCCTTCTGAAACGATTTTAGTAGCCTCTATTAAAAGCCACCATAGCCGTTACTAAGCCCCGAGCCACGGTAACGCTCCGAGCTTCGAATTTCTCGCAGAAACTCCATGGCCAACTGCCAGGCCAAAGCAACGCCAGTGATCATCGCTGACAAAGTCACCTAGGTCAGGGTTAAAACATCTTGAACAATAGGTGATCTTCATGTAAGCTTAATGCTAATTAATAAGGCTAATTATGAACTTACATGTGAAAATCATGTTGATAAATTCCTTATAATGTTAAGTTACATAAAACCATATTTTTTGATGAATAAGGTTGGTATGTTTTAGGGATTCTCCATTTTTGGTTAACCCAAATGACGATAAACCAATCATTTTTTGTGCAAAGTGATTTTCTGAGTTGATCAACTCAGTAACTCTGGCTGTCTGCCTATCTATCAACCTATCTTCCTACCTACCTACCTCTCTATCTACGTATCTATCTACCTATCTATCTACGTATCTATCTACCCACCTATCTACCTACATATCTATCTACCGACCTATCTATGTACCTACCTATCTACCTACATATCTATCTACCTATCTACCTATCTACCTATCTACCTATCTACCTATCTAACCACCTATCTACCTATCTTTCTATCTACCTACTTACCTATCTATCTATATCTATCTATATCTATCTATATCTATCTATATCTATCTACCAATATCTTTCTATATCTATCTATATCTATCTACCAACATCTTTCTATCTATATTTAAATCTATCTATCTATATCTATCTAAATCTATCTATATCTATCTATCTATATATATATATATCTATCTATATCTATCTATATCTATCTATATCTATCTATATCTATCTACATCTATATCTATCTATCTATATCTATCTGAATCTATCTATATCTATCTATATCTATCTATATCTATCTATCTCTATCTATATCTATCTATATCTATCTATATCTATCTATATCTATCTATATCTATCTATCTATCCATCTATCTATCTATATCTATCTATATCTATCTATATCTATCTATATCTATCTATATCTATCTATATCTATCTATATCTATCTATATCTATCTATATCTATCTATATCTATCTATATCTATGTATATCTATCTATATCTATGTATATCTATCTATATCTATCTATATCTATCTATATCTATCTATATCTATCTATATCTATCTATATCTATATAAATCTATCTATATCTATCTATATCTATCTCTATCTATCTCTATCTATCTCTATCTATCTCTATCTATCTCTATCTATCTATATGTATCTACATCTATCTCTATCTATCTCTATCTATCTATCTATCTCTATCTATCTCTATCTATCTCTATCTATCTCTATCTATCTCTATCTATCTATATCTATCTCTCTATCTATCTATATCTATCTATCTCTATCTATACCTATCTATATCTATATCTATATCTATCTATATCTATCTATCTATCTATTTATCTATTTATCTATTTATCTATTTATCTATTTATCTATTTATCTGATATCTATTTATCTATTTATATTATATGTAAAATATATAGCTCGTAAAGCTTGTTGCATAGTAGTACGTAGAGAAGTCCTTGTGCAGATCAATCTAAAAACATCTTTTGAGCGCGTTCTTGTTCCACACTCCCCATGGCAGTTGTTCAGGCGGAGCCTTCCTCGATGGAAGTCAACAAGAATCAAACTACCAACCAGCACTCTCGGAGTGAGAGAACGCGCATGTCACTGTTTTGGTTTATGGGAATTCTACAGGAATCTGCGTTCTTTTTGTTGCCAACAAAGATGCAGATTTCCTCAAGATTTTCTACTTCATCCAAGTTCCATAGACATGATTTGCAGTCAGGATTCCTTATAGTTGAGCACCAACCCCCTATTTTCATGGCCCGAAACTCCTCGATCCTAAGGGCCCCGCCACAGTGGGCTGCAACAACATCTCTTGAAGGCTGTTGTAGAGGGAGACAGCGATCCTGCGTCATGGCAGGCAGCTGTTTGCGGGAGACCATGGGATCTGAAACAGATGAAGATGGGATTGCCTGGAATATCTTCTTTTCCGCACCCTGGTGAAGAATATTTTTTTGTGAAAGCAGTATGATTCAACTGCAGTAGGAGTATGAGGAGATGTTAAGAGCAGACAAAACAATAGAACACTGCTATGGAATAATATATAATATACACATGGATGGATTTACACCTCTTTGATCCTCTTTGTTGATATGTAACTATACAATATTATACATACACCTGCATAGTTGCTATGTCCGCTATGTGGATTTAATGTGGATTGGTGTTTCACCTGGTTTCCACATGTTTCTACCTCCTCAGATCTGGCCTCCAGTCATGTTCCCTCCTCGAAGTAATCCAGGTGTTGTAGATCACTGTATTTAGCTGCAACCCTTGGCCGTGGCGTCATGAATTTGGCGTTGGACTTGGGGAAAAAATGAATTTCAGGATGTATCTGTTAAATCTTGTCCAACCTAGAATCTACTCTAGTCTAACGTAATCTAATCCCCTCGAATCTGATCTAATCTCTCTATCTCTCTGTATCTGTATATGCGTACTTGTATATGTATACATACATATATATATATATATAATAGTTATATATCAATATAATGTGTATATTATATGTACGTAATGTACATGTGCATATGCATATCATATGCATATACATGCACGGAAACAATATATGTATATATATATACACATTAAATATGTGGATTAGCTTCCTCAATCCTCCCGTGCAACTGCAGCGTCACTAGGAGCCAAGATCTTCTGGTTCAATTGGCTCCTTTTCTGTATGACATGTTTCTTGTTTCTCCCTCTCCATTCCATGGAGTCGCCGACTTCTTTGAAATGAACATTTACAGTACCCCCCAAGAAATCACTTGCAAGCAACATCTATAGAAGTACGGTTGCCTGGAAAAAGTCCTTCAACCCATCAAAATAAGATCCGCAGGGCACAGCCTGTTTTGGGGAGACCATGGCAGACCACTTTTTTGGGTTTCAAGGGCCCAGATTATCCAGGTGCTGATCCCGCAGTTCTCCACATCTGTTGAGCCATGAAACATACACTGCTATCCCATCCCATATTTTTCCATGGGTCAAAATGAAAAACCCGGTGATCGTATTGCCATGGGATGAATAACACTGCAGTAAAAACTGTTAGTAAATCTACGTATGGAAATCTTTGGGTTGTAATCGTCTCCATGAACAACCAGGTGATGTAACTCCCTATCGCCAAATTTACAGATGTATTTTCTTGGCGCTGCTTCCATCGTCGTACGGGGACTCGGTCCCAGCTGCCTTTCACTTGTAGGTCACGATGGAGCTTGCCAACCTGGAGATCACGGATTTTCTTGGAACATTTGGGGATATCATTGGGATAACGAAGAATATGATATAAATTGATATAATATGATATGGCTTTGTGCAGAAATGGGGGATTTACATGGATTTACCTCAATTTCATGGAATTGAATGACACTATTTTGAGGGATGATAAACAACTGGATATTTGGGTACTCTCCTCTTGGACACTCTGGAGATTACGCTACCCATCGGAGGCTCAGGTGACTCAGGTTCACTTTTTTCGAATGCTGTACATGATGATAAACAGATATAAATAGGGTGAGTTCATCCAACAAGCATCTGGCTTTTTCCAACTGGATCTAGCCAGCGAAGTTGACTTAAAACATCTTAAAACCAAACATGGGGTGGGGTTGGAAGGCAACCAAATCTGATTGGTGCCTTAAAGAAAAGGGGTCAAAACCACAGCACCTGCCAAAGTCTCTCAAAGTTAAGGGTTGTACCTCGGCATTGCCAGCCCTAAGAAATCAATCCGACATTATGAGGTCCGTGTTTTTGACCACAATGACGTGGCAGTTTAAAATTGGGTTGGAACTAACCTCGCTTCAATTATTGATGGCTGTTAGATAACCATCCACTGATGTTTTACAAGGTGCTGCCCCCCAGATATGTTTGTTGGTTTAAAAACCACATATAGTAAATAATATAGATGTATTTACCATAAACTATAGTATTGGTATCAAACCATGTCTACATAGTAGTTTATGGTAGTGTATACACCACCATAGATGTCCAATAACAATGGATTATATAGTTTATAATAGTTTATACTATCTATACCACTTTGTTTATATCTACAATAGTTATTGGATATGTTTCAACCCTAGTTATTTTAGTTTTACCTTCCAGTAAACTAACATAACTCTGGAAAATCACGGAAAATCACACTTTTTAATAGGTACATCATTTATAACTGTGATAAATGGCAATGTTTCCCACTGAATTTCGCTTCCCCGCACCTGCTCCCAGGCAGTCTGGCGCTCGGCAGCGCTGAGTGCAGCGCCGTAGCTCACCACGCTCACGGCGGAGGCGCGGCACGCGGACGCCAGGGAGGCCTTACCCAGGGAATTTTGGAGTGTCTTTTGCATGGCACCATCCTATGTATACATTATATGTATATATATATATATTATATGTATATATATATTATATGTATATGTATATATATATTATATGTATATATATATATACATTGTATATATATATATATATATGTATATATATATACATATATATATATATAAATATGTATTGGATATTCGAACCCCACTGAAACCATACCACTTGGGTGCCATGGCGAACCGTCGCTTCTATGGTAGTAAGCCCAAGACACAATAAGATATAAGCAGATGAAGCATCTGGTGTAGCTTGTATAAAACTTTAAACCTTGGGGATTCCCTAACACTTGCGTATGATCTTGACGCAAGTGACTTCTATGATGCAACCAACACATGGGAAAGGGGCATCTATGAGCTGGACACCCAAACAAAATCAGCAGGCTCCAGTTGCCGCACTGATTTGACATTGAAAACTTTATCTCAATGTTAAAATCATCTAGCAACAACTAGTTTTTGAAATATGCTTTAATTGTGAAGACCCCATCAATGCATATGCTTCTTGCATTTACTCAGATTCACATTTAACCCAAAGAACGTTCGCCTTGGGGTCACAAGATCAGGCTTTGAAAATTAACAGGTGTATAAGTATAGTACTGCATAGTAACCCCAGAAAGATAGAAATGGCTACATATACATGTAATTACTATTTCAGATTGAGATAACATCTTTAACTGCCTGTTTTGTACTATGGATCATTTGTCGGTGGTTTCCGCTCAAAAGAACACCAAACTGGGATCATCAATGGGTTTAAGGGAAAATCGAAAAAGGACACCGTGGATTTCCCCATGAAATGTGGAGGGTTTCCGCTTTCAATTTTCCCTTACCCTCTGGTAAACAAACATAGCTATTGAAAATCACCATTTTTTATAGGTAAATCAACTATAAATGGGCCATTTTCTATAGCTATGTCAGCCATTACCAGAGGGTAAACAAATCCAAAAACCAAATATGGGCGCCTGTGCGGCCTGCCACCGCTCAGAGGCCTTGACCACAATGCCCATGGTGACCTCGAGAAACAGCGCGATCCCATGCGATTGAGGGTGAACGAGAGTGATAAGTCATGGGTCATGGAAAATGTCCCCATTGAACATCACCCAACCATTAGGTTTTTGTGCTCTATAATGGCTACTATAAGGTGATGTCCAATATTCCCGAAATGGGACAGTTACCAACCCCTGTAAGTAAACCACTGATGGAAGAAATCCTGAGTTGGTATAGATGGTAAAAATCCCATGATAATCCCATTGCAAATAACGAAACTACCGTGGATGGTTGTGAAATCCTGCACCAGTTGGAAACTATGCATGGTAACACGGTAAATAATGGGATTATGATGGGATAGACCATCTAATATCTTTTCTAGCAATCAATAGAACCTAAATTTAGTTCACTAAACTATTTAAAGTGACTAATGACTAGAAAAGATGATGTTTTCCCTGGTGTTTCCCAGGTGTCTAAGGTATTTTAAAGGCATCTGGGGGTTGCTATACCACGGCAAGATTTGGTACTGACTAGTAATTCATTGGGTGATTGAAATTTTAACTATATCTTAAAAAATGGAATTTATCGCGTAAATCCTTTTGTCTGAATGGCAAAACACCTGTACTTAAAAGCATCCGGGTTATTTTTGGTTTATGGAGCTTAGTGGATTATAGTGAACCTTAATGGAATCTAATGGATTGTTCCAACCATCCAATTATCTTAACAATGTCATCATTTGAGGTTGATTCTGGGTGTTAAAAGATGGCTGCCCGGTTTTCCGGTTGAGGATTTGGGTGACACATTGACATGGCATCTGGGACTACATGTTGCGCGACCTGTCTGATCCGTGTTCATGAACTCTTCTCTGCACCATTTGCACGTCCCAAGCCACGCAAAAGGATTAGAGGGTATTGACAGTAGATGCATTTAGTCTGGCGGTTCCAACCACTACAATCCAGCCTGACCTGCCCATTTGGTTGGTCCAAACCCTGCTCTGGATGGGGCTCAACGGGATTACCGATGAATCATGTTGACCCCTCGATCATCCCTGTGAACACATGAAACCAGTCAAATAAAAGACGCACCAAGGCTCAGAACATGTATGAACATGTCATGGCACCTCCAATTGTTTCAAGGAGCGCTTTTCCGGATTATTTAAACAATGGGGCTTCTGGATTCTTACAGTAGAAACCCATGAAACCAGTTAATATAAAGTTGTAATGATTCAGAAACCATCATGAAACCAAACTCAGTGAAACCATTAATATCCGTTAATCATGAAAATCACATTTAAACACCACCACTGATACGTGGTATTATGAACATTTAATACCGTTAATAAACCACAGATTCTTCAAGCCGCCACTGCTGCACCCACAGCTGGTAGCCCTGCACCTGGTCTGGCTGGTAGCCTTTGGATCGCAGATCCACCAGGGCCAGTTGCCAGTGATGTCGCACCTGAGATGATCAGAGAGTCATCCACGGAAAAAACACTATAGTGACTGGATATGATGTATATATAATATATTGTAATATAATTATACAATTATATACATATATATAGTTTAATTATGTATAATATATGATTATAATTGATTATATATAGTATATATATACATATGTAAATCAACATGTGATGGAATGTGATCGAATGTGATGGAATGTGATGGAATGTGATGGAATGTGACAGCAAAGTGACGAAATGTGACGAAATGAAACAACATGTGAATGGAATGTGGTGGTACAAATGAAAAGACTTAGGAGCCAAAAGACGCAGAAGAGCAGTAACATATACAGTACACATGTTTAATGATTTATGTGGCAACCTTGCAAAAAACAACACAGAAATAGATAAAGAATGATAAACGTGGATCAATTTTCCGCTGATTGTCAGGCTAGGAATGCGGCAGAATGAACAGGTGCCGACAAGTTCACAAATGACTATCCCGCTCCAGTGATCAGCTAGAGCTCCCAAATTTATGTTTCGTGGGAAAGGCTCCGTCTTCTCTCACTTGGCCCTCACCATGGGGGGAACAAAATGAAGCAACTTTGTGCCTCCGCCCAGTCAAACTATGGGTTTGTGATCTTTGTTTTGATTTGTGATCACATCATGTGTGGTGGTGTTACTTACCATATTTGCAACAGCTGATCCATCTGATCCTATCTGGGCTCCCCAACGCTCGCGCTGAGCAGGCTGTTCTGCATAATGATGTCAGGCTGCAGGGCCTTCCATTGCCGGCTGCGGGATCTTGAGGCTTCCAATTAGCCATTACCATCTGGTTACTTAACAGTTCGCCATGGAAAATTGCCCATTTATAGATGGTTTACCTATTAAAAATGGTGATTTTCCATGGCCATGTTAAATAACCAGATGGATCCAGATGGTAAAATCGTTAAAGAGTTGCCTTTGAAGCGCAAAGCCACTGTACACCAGGACTTGGCCAAGTTTTGCTTGCAGCCGTCAGCCACATGATGGTCCACTCACCCGCTCTCCCGCCACTGCGGCCCCCTCCCTTGGGATGCTTCACTTAGCACCCAATGCGTGAGTATATCACTGAAACTTCAGGTGCCATTTGATTATTTTTTGAGGATCCAAATGTATCCAAATGTCTCAGTTGCAGGTGCCCTGTGGCAATCTAGCATGGCAACGGAAAATCATGAAAATCCAATTCAACATGTGAAAATCAGATAGATTCGGATGATTCAGCGCTACGCCAAGCTACGCCAGCTACTGTTCCCACACCACGAAACCTGCAATTCCATCGAAGCCAAGAGGTGGAGGCTTTCTCGCCATTGTGCTCTCTTGGTGAGCGCCGCAAGTTCTTTGCCCCAGTCCTGCACAACGGCGCGCTGCACAGCGCCGTGCCGTGTTCAGCGTCTAGTCGACTCACCATCCCCCAGTCCCCGTCCTTTGCTGTGCGTCCCTGCTGACTAAGCACCATAACGATGGCTGAAACGATATCGGTTCCACGAATTCCAGTGGTGCCATCCACGCGAAAAACAAGAAATGGCCACGGAAAATTCACCAAACATATACAGTAGATGTTTGTTAAATCATTATTTACTTCACTAGCTGGTGAATTTCGCATCATTTCCCCTGGTGAAATTCCCAAAGGGTGTGCCGATGCTAGCATTGTAATCATGTTTTGACATCCTGGCCAATTTTCGCTGGTTGGTCATTGTAAATTCCCAATATTTAAAGGAGGAACGCACATGCAAATAATGTCAAATAATAACGTATCAACATAGACTTGAAATAAATGAAGAAACGAATTAAACGACCATGGTCTGCCAAGGTTTACCCAATTGTCAGGTATTTTACCCGATCGCTTCTTGTGAGAAGGGCTATGGTCGTCTCCATACAGGTCGTTATGAAAAGAGTGACGTCGACTCTCGACTGAGAAGTCGTGCTTGCAAATCTTTCACGAATATTAGCTGTGAAAAGGAACTGTTAAAACAAATGTCATAGAATCTTCCGTCTCACCTGTAAAACGTTGGCGTTTGAAAGCTTTCACCAAATCCCCTTTCAGCATAGATCTCGTTTGGCGGGCAGCTCTTTGGTTTTATCTTGGAACGGATGGTACGACAATGCCCATGTGACTCTTGAGTCATCCGACTGACACCTTTTCAAGTCGAATGGCCCTAAACATCGGCAATAATGAGGCAGAACAATGCCATACATACCTCATTTATACACCCAATCATGCGATTTGTGGGATGGCACTAGTGAAAGCCAACAAAGGGCTATATGGGGTTTATATACCAGATCATACCAAATTACAAAGGGAAAATCGCCACAAATTGAAAACTCAACACTGTCCCCGTACTGCGTTGCCCCATTCCCCGCAAATTCCCCGAGTGTTTTTTCTTGGCATCAGAACGCAGTGGATTCGATCTCAACCGAGTGGTATTCAGTACCTTGGCACCCCGGACCCAGCATCTCAGGCTGACAGCGTTGGTCCAACTGTATCCAACTGTCACATCTTGAACTACCCTTTGGTTATTGAACAGTTCGCCATGGGAAATTACATTATTTAAAAGGTAAATCACCTACAAATATGTACAACGGGGTAATTGTCCGTGGCTATGGCTATGTCAAATTACCGGACGGTATCTACCCCACTTTATCTGACTTTGTAAAAACCCCAAATTCTAACCTGACCAGTTCCACATATATATATATATATGTCAAAAAAATCATTGCTGAATAAGTGAATAACACAGACCTGGAAATAAATGAATCAGTCAGGCGAGCATCGGAAGTCATGACTATAGGTCAAAACCCATGGAACGTCCAAGTGAACCCCAAAATAGTTGGGACTTATGGATGTTCATCCCCTCAAAATATGGTATAGTCAGTGTTGATTCATCCGCAAGTGGTCATCATCACTGTGATGGGAGGCCCAAATCCATGCAAAGTGGGGCCACCTAGATAGCGAGTTGGTGTATAGCTCCAATGAATATGGTTCATGATGCTTGTCGAAGGAAGTTTAGAAATCAAACAATATGGACAGATGAAGAAGCAGAGGTGGGAAGAGTCAGAGAAGAGAAGAGAAGAAGAAAGAAGATCAGAGAAGAGAAAGAGTCAGAAGAAAGAAGATGCAGGTGCGCGAAAAGGTAGAAAAGTCGCGACTCACAGTGTTTTTCCAATGATTTGTGGCTCCGGAGGGTCGGAAGGTAGGCTCGCTAAAGCGGCGGGTGCGGAGCCATCTGGCCAGATGAGAAATGAAAAATTGCACACCGTTGTGGCATGTTGTGGCCCGAAGCACATTTGCAAGTGAAAAAGCTAAAACCACCTCACGTTCGGAGCACTTTTTGAAGTTGAGATGTCGAAAAAGTGCACGCCGTTGTGGCGAAGCACATTTCAAAGTCAAAATGTACAAAACGCACCAACGTCGGACAACTTTTGGAAGTTGAGATGTCGAAAAAGTGCACGCCTTTGTGGGGCGAAGCACATTTGGAAGTCAAAAGTGTTAAAAACTGACGGTCTCAGACCACTTTTGGAAGCTGAGATGTTCAAAAAGTGCACGCCGTTGTGGTGCGAAGCACATTTCCAAATCAAAAAAATAGAACACCACATGCTCGGACCACCAGGGCGCAGATTTCCCGAGACGGGTTGCATTTTGGAGTATCAAATCTTCAGGTTTGCTAAGATGATTTTGCGTGACAGGTGCAACACTTCGTATGACCTGGCATCACTTTTTCATGGCAGGCGCAGTACTTTAGACAGATGGAGTGGAAAAAGCGCAAAACGAATTGGTACGAGGCCGTCAGCTCTGCACTCGACTTTCCATTTTCGAAGGTGGTCTCGCAAAATTGCTTCGTTTTTGATGTTGCCAACTTTGAAAACTGAAGAAGTCTCGCAGAATTGCTTTGTTTTTGATGCTGTCGAGTTCAAAAATTGAGGAAGTCTCGCAGAATAGCTTCGTTTTCAAGCTTGCAGGTAGACAGATCGATAGGCAGATAGATAGACAGATAGATAAATAGACAAATAGACAGACAGATAGATAGAAAGACAAAAAAAATAGATAGATCGATAGAAAGATAGATAGATGGATAGACAGATAGATAGATAGACAGGCAGATAGAGAGATAGACAGATCGATAGACAAACAGATAGAGAGATAGACAGACAGACAGACAGCTAGATAGAAAGACGGATAGCCAGATAGAGAGAAAGACAGATTGATAGATAGACAGATAGAAAGACAACTAGATAGATAGATAGATAGATAGATAGATAGATAGATAGATAGATATATAGCTAGATAGATGGATAGATGGATAGATAGATAGATAGATAGATGTATAGATTAGATAGATGTATAGATGTATAGATGTAAAGATGTATAGATGTATAGATGTATAGATGTATAGATGTATAGATAGATAGATAGATAGATAGATAGTTACATAGACAGATAGTCAGTTACATAGACAGATAGATAGATAGATAGATAGGTAGATAGATTGATAGAGATAGATAGAGAGAGGTAGAGATAGATAGAGATAGATAGAGATAGATAGATATAGATAGATACAGATAGATATAGATAGATGTACATAGATATAGATATAGGTAGATATAGATATGTAAATATATATATATAGATGTAGATAGATATAGGTAGATATAAAAAGATATAGATAGATATAGATAGATAGAGACAAATAGAGATAGATATAAATAGATATAGATAGATATAGATAGATATAGATAGATATAGATAGATAGAGACAAATAGAGATAGATATAAATAGATATAGATAGATATAGATAGATATAGATAGATATAGATAGATATAGATAGATATAGATAGATATAGATAGATATAGATAGATATAGATAGATATATAGATAGATAGCCCGACACCCCAACCACCTTTCGATCCACCAGTGGGTTCGCTCTGCCATCCATGATTCACAACAACCAACCTCTCCTATAGGTTTCCTAGCTTTGAAACTTCCGCCACCGCCTTGTGCGGTACTATTGGTAATTGATGGGGTGTATAAACCAACAAACATGTAGTAACTGGGGGGCCCCACAATGTACGAACATTTCAAGCAGTTGGGTGTGGGGTCTCAGGTAGAAAATGATGGCAGTTGGTTTGCAATTGCAGGGAAGCACGTCATTCGGGGCATTCATGCAAATCAAACAACACATACTGTATTATATCATAGCTTTGGAGATAAATCACCAAATACCATCACATATACCCCAGTGAATCTGCTAAACATCTAAATTCTCAATCAACAGCTTGGGTACGTGATCAAAACTCTACATCATAAACCGTGTATTTAGTAAAGTATGGCAAATACCAGTAATTGGACCATTCAACATCCCATTGAACTTGGTGTAACCTGGCGCCAAACCCGGTGTTGCTGAAGCACTGGTGCTGGCGCCAAGCACCCAGCCCCAGGTCTCCTGAGCTGCGATGCCACGCTGAAGTTGTGATAATGTTCGTATTGCCATTAACCATTCATATCTTGATGGTTTATCCCATAAAAAATGGTGATTTTGAGGGTGGTAAAGCAATATTTCTGATGATGTTGATGTATGATACAATTTGTAAAGTTTATCCATATCACCGGGATGGTGGATCCTATAAATCTATGATAATTTAATTACCATTCATATCTTGATGATTTTTTCCAGCCATTTATATATAGTGCTTTTGGGGATGGTGGATCCTATTGCTTTGCTGACATTACGATAATTCATGGCTATTGATGGAGATTCATTCCCACAAATTGGAGTCAATTGCAGGAACATACCATATCTTGGATAGGAAAACAAGCATGCTTCCTGTAATTTTCCCTTGAATCATACCAATAATACGGATAGCCCGCCATTTGTCGATTCTTTCCCTTGCGAAAACATGGTTGTTTTCCATCTCTCTGTCTACATATGTATATTATACATGATACATAATACATAATATATATATATATACATATAATATCCATACAATAATATAATAATATATATATACACATACATATAACTATATTTACTGGAGACTATCTTTCATTGAATACTGGTTTGAAACAATGTTTCGTTGAAGGAAACATATATATATATATAATACTTTAATTACAGATATTTGGTTGTACCATCCACATATGGGATTTCCTGCAAATGGAACAAATTAAAAATATCTTTCTTGATTGTCGATCTGTCACTCAACAATGGGAATATCTAGCCTAGAGCAACACACAAACCGGAAATGTTTGGTCATTTTGGGGTGGTTCCGCTCATCAAGTGCCAGTGTTGGTGACGTCGCTGTGAGGTTGCTGTGATTCAGCCAGTTTGTTGATATTTCTGGATATACATACATTATACATATATATATATAATATACACATATTGTAAGCGGAAGAAATATGGCTGGATATGTACATATACACCATGGATATCTTACCTACCAACTACTGAGAACTTACTTTTAAGTATGGATATCTGGATGAGTCGCATTCCATAAACGATCCATCGGATCGTTTTTTTTACTCGCTGGAAACTAGTTCTGTCATATACAGTAGCATACAGTAAATGCGGAATCATGTGGATAGATTGCCTACCTCTTAACCACCATGTCTTTTTCGCTTTTTTGATTCGTTTCTCTTTTGGAAGGGTGGATTGTTGAATATAACAGATTATGAGGTATGACCTACATAGAACGAAATCAAATGTGCAAAATGGGGAATACCACCTACAACATAAATGTAGGGTTGAACCTGCCAAGTATGCGGGATCCCAATGAGGAGTACCCTGTGTATTTTGTTGGGTGAATGGTTTTCACCTGGTGCTGTCCATTCTACGGGGTCGAATCAACTTTCCTCCCTGCCATAGGTGAGAAGGATGCCCCATCGATCCCAACTGGTTGGTGGTTTCACCCCCCTCTGAAAAATATTAGTCACTTGGGATGATTACTCCCAATATATGGGAAAATAAAAAATGTTGCAAACCACCAACCAGCAATCGTAAGTTGTTCATTTCTTTTCAGAATAGGAACATGTGACAAGCAATCAAGGAACAATCTATAAGATCAATGATTGCAATCCAAAGCACCTCCATAGCTACATTTCTAAAGGGTCCAAAGGTCCGAATTGCATAGATGGAAAATCGGATGGGGGCTCAAATTGAGAGGAAGAAAGAAACACAGTCTTAGCTACAGCACACCTGTATGTAATCAAATATATGCAAGTGGTTGCAAACGTATGAAGCAAACTGGTAAGATTTTCAAACACAAACTGTCCCAATCACCCGCATTACCCTCCGCCAATCAAACATGGCAATGGAAAATCCCCATCTGTAGAATCTGTAGATGGTTTTCCTATTAACATCTCCATTTAGAAGGGATTTTCAATCACCGTGTTTGATCACCAGATGATACTGTAGCCCTTATTTCAGTACCCAGGAACAGGTTCCCTGTGCACCTGCAGGACGCTGAGAGGTTTGTAGACAGATTTCCCCGAGATGGGAACAAACACATGCTCATACATTTTCCATCATTTTCCCGTAATCTATGTTGATAGACGTTTCCTGAAAATGAGAAACCTACTTTTTTAGACACGTATAACACTTTAATAAAGTTCCACGTGGGTTTGGTACCTGAAAATGCTACGGATTTCCCCCAGATCGAATCGTGCCACTGTTGGGACGATCTTTCAAAGTTCACTCGAAAAATCTGCACCTGGGGAACGTAGCTGGTGTCAAATCATCTGCAGTATTTTACATATAATATACATAATATATATATATGTATAATATAAATATATTTCTATATGTTAATTGTATATTATATGTATATATGGTGTTTCTACTCACATATATTCAATTAATGTTAAATAGATGATCAGCTGCTTGGTGCTTCATGTCTTGAATGCTCCATCCCAGCTACCCCTTTCGCGACCTGCAATGGGGCCATTCCCTCGAGGGTAAACAAACGACCCTCTTGCTCCAGGAACCTCAAACAGCGAGGCGTGGATCATCGCACCTGTTGATGCGTGTTGGATTGGCTTATAGCATAATCATGCATAATCAATAATGTCAACCCCGGATTAATAAACCATAGGGTTTATTAATTAGGGGGGTACCCCTCCAATAGTCATAAATTGATACTTAAATGGTACCCTCCCAATTAAACAATCTAGGGGTTTATTAATCCGGGGTTGACATTACTTAATAGTATGACATAGTATGACAAATGACTTGGCTTGTTGATTGGTAACTGGTTGGCAACTGGGCTTATTGATTATTGAGCCTGACTGGCCGGTTTTTTCTTTTGATGTTCCCCATTGATTACATCACTGTTCGGATGGTTTCCAAATGGGCAAGCATGTCCGGCATGTCCCCCAAAAAAAGGCGACACCTCAGGTCATTTGTTTCCCAATCGCAGTTGGACACAAAGCTTAACCGAACAAATGCGCCGAGTGGCCAGCGAGTTTCTCCGAAGTGTGGAGACACGAAAAGGCCGTTCTTCTGAAAATGCCTTGAAAATGGGGTATACAAAAAACATGCAATTGTGATAGGTATGGGGACAATCTTGATTAACAATCAAACTTGGGGGTACAACTATTCTTCGACGACCGGGCATCATCAGCACACTGGCGGATGATGGGTTCAACCACAAGAATATGACGATCAATTGGGATCAACGTCGGGATCAAAACAAAGCATGGTTGCAATCGCCAAGCAAACATTCACTGGAAGTATACGGGACCTTTCACACCATTTGCAGGTGGAAGGGGCTGATCTTCATCGGAAGGACAGAAAAATAATATGTGCAAAACGGAAGGACATCTCCCTTGAACGAATCCCATCTCCCTGATATCAAATTATATCGAATCTCCACTTTCTCTGGGCCATTCGATGAACAATGCTCAACCAGGAGTTCGTCTGTGGATGCTTGGCTATGGATCGAAAGCCACATCAAAATAGCTGGCAAATAGACCCATGACCCCCACTTGGACGAGAAAACATTCAGCTTTTGCCACAGACATCGCCTATTAAAACATAATCTTCACTGAACCAGTTTGTACAATCTCAAACAACAGCAGTGTTTTTCTAGGTCTTTCTAAATCATATGATGCCATGTATCTTTCATATGAGTGCGTCCATTGTTCACCATGTACACGCTCCACGCGGGCCATGCGCGTCTTTGTGTATGGCCAAATGCTCTTGAGAACTGCTCTATACATGCTATCATCCTGTAGTATGCCTGTAGTATACATGTATATGATTGTATATGTATACCAAATTGCATCTGAAACATACAGATAGAATTCATCTTATACATTCAGCTTGCGGAAAGACGACTTTCCAGATCTGCTCTGCCTCAGCCAAATTCCTCAATTTAGAACAAACATACGACTTTGTCATTTGCCTGTAGAGCCATCATTTCGAGAGGGAATTGCTCAACCATGTTGAACCACACTTCAACTAGTCATCTGCGTCCCAGCCTGTAGCCCATGGAAGATGGACGGCCATGGTAGATGAGCTGCCAGCGGAAGTGTGCCACCTGAAGGCAAATGCCGCCAGGGATTCTCTGAAAATTACGGGAAACCTATATTTAAAACCCATAGTCTATCAATGTTTATCATAATCATTCATCTTCCCCAACAAAAATCTTACTTGGAAATATTGACCATTTTGAACAAGGACAAGTCCATATACGGTACAATCATAACATATCAGAACATCCTAAGCCAGATTTGACGCTTTGAGACCACATTTGATGATTTCCACAACAAATATATGCACTACAAAAAGCTATGCATCTGAAGTTGAAAAATAGCTGAAAATCGGAAATTCTAACATGATTTTTCCCAATAACATTTTGTAGTTAGGTCTATGCCATCCAAAGTTCCGACCAACATACTTTTCAGAAACCATTTTGTAGTTGTCATTGATTGAATCTGATTGGATCAAGTGTTGACCCCATGCAGTTGTTAAATACCATTCTGTACTGGCAGCGGGTTAAAAATAATTATAGGTTACGCACTGGCAGCGTCTTCAATTACTGTTCTTATTTGGGAGCACCGGTGCAGGATGTTTCAACTTTCTCAACTTGTAGTGCAAATGAAATTTTATGTTGGATGCTTCAACTAACTCAACATATATATATACATATACAACTACAAAATGCAAATGAGGATTTTTCCGAACGATTTCCGAACGCTACAAAATGAATGAAACTACAAAAAACTTGGCACAAGCCCATTTGTTTATACAAAACGACCCCTGGCCGGCAATTTGTACTGTAGCCCAAGTCCTCCCCTTTCTGTAGGTGTTATCCAATCCCGGATAGAATAGGGTTCATTCTTCACCCCAATTCATCCAACATTCGACCAAACCAAAGTATCGAAACCCATAGTGACTTCGGAGTGCCCCCCATTTTAAGAACCCCCCATTTCTTTTGGTCAACTTTTGGCCCTGCGACTTCATGAGCAAACCGAAACGACTGCATTTCTGGTAGAAAATGAGCGTTCCGTTTCTACACATCTATGCTGGAAGGTTTCAATATCTTTGCATCTGTGGGCGAACCAGGGGTTGCAGGAAACAACACCGTCATCCTATAAGACTCAGCTCCAAAAAATGGCACCATTCTGCCACAAAAATCATCAAAAATCCGGCAGGAGCCAGCCACAACCATGGAAAAGGACAACTTGAACATCCAGCTGTTTTTGTTCCACCTGTCGACGTTGCCATGCACACCCATCAGTACATGGTGAAATGGCTGGCCTCTTGTTGTGTGATGTTGGGCCGCTTGCTGTCCAGTTCAGCATAGACATAGCTTCGCTTCCTGGGTATGGCTAGACAACAGGTAGACAAGTCCCTTATGGAGATAACTAGCACAACGCATCCGGTGCCCATTTGGATCTGAGCCTTTTTGCATGGCTGTCGTGGTTGTTTGCAGCACGACTTTTTCAAGTCCCATTGTTTTCTCATGGAGATATGCTCAACAAGCTGGCTCACTGTTGACTGTGGCACCATCCAAGGGGCCTGGTTTGCGCCAGGGATTTTTTTCCCACCTTCCCGGGGATTTTTCCCCCCTCAAGGCCGCATCAATACCCTCGCTATTTGCAGCATGTTAAACCTCGAAGCTGCCATTTCGACAGTATTTGCAACATTTTGGAACCACTTCTACGGTAATTGCAGCATTTTGGAGCTAGAAACTGATGGTAAGTCAAGCATTTTGGAGCTAGAAGCTCTTATTTCTGCCGGAATCGGATTTTTTGGAGCTAGCAGCAATCTGGGGTTGGTTCAGCTAGAAGTGTTGTTGGGGCTGCTGTGGTGTGTGCTTGGGGTTGGCTAAAGGTATCGGTATCGTGGGTTGGGTTAGCTATTCCAGGTCGGTTTAAAGTTGGTTCATAAATGGTGTTTGTGTAGCGCTTGCTTGGCATGAATTTAGTGTTGGTGCAATATGTTGTTTAGGGTTAGTTTGCGGTTGAACTAGGAGTCCGCTTAGTTTGAGGGTTGGTTCAAATAACATGGTGTCAGGGCTGCTGTAGGATTTGTTTTGGTTTGGGTGAAGGTATTTTGGAATGTTTCTTATTATCTTTAAAGATATGTTCAGGGTTGGTTTAGGTTCGGTTTTGTTTAGATTTGGTTTAGGGTTGTGTTCCAAGGCCGCTTTGAAATTGTAGTCAAAATAATATGTTGAAGTTGATTTAGGGTGTAGTTTGGGTGGGCTTAGTGTTAGCTTAAGGGTTACTCTGGATTTATTCAATGTTGGCGCAATGTTTATTTAACATTTTTTCGGGTGTTATTTCTGGCGTGCTTAGTGTTTGGTTTAAGATGTGTTTAAGTTTTCTTTCGGTTTGGTTTAGGGTTGATTCAGGGTTGGGTCAGTGGTTTATTGCTGGTTGGCTTGAGGTTGGTGCAAAGTTTTATCTAAAATCGGTTCAGGGTTTGATTCGGAATTTGTTGAAAATTCATGTGTCTTTTAGGTTTGGATTTGGGTTTGTTTTGGGTTGGGTTAACCCTTTATTTGGCATTCCTTTCAGGGCTTTAAGGTGCGCGTGCAGTTTCCTTCGTGAGGGTTTCAAGTCTTATTTGTCTTATCTATCTATATATATACATATAGATAGTTTGCTTTAAGGTTTTCTTTGGGGCTGGATTAAGGGGTTCTTTATAATTGGTTTAAGGTTGGTTTAGGGTTGATTTGGGGTTGGTTTAAGGTTTGATTAGAGCTGGTTTGGGGACTATGGAATTTTGGTTTAAATTTTTACTGAATGTTGTTCGGAAGTTTATTTGAGGTTGTTGAAGGTTTTGTTAAAGTTGCACTTTATGTTTTAAATTGGTTTACGGTGCGGTTTGGCATTGGTTTGGGGCTGGTTAGAGATCTATCTAGGGTTGATTTGTGGTTTATTGAGGATTGGTTCAAAGTTTAATGAAAGTTTATTTGAAGGTGGTTTCAGGTTGTATTTCAACTTTACTAAGGGTCAGTTTATCTTTCTATTTCAGGTTGGTCAAGGTTTTTCTTTAGAGTTGGTTCAACATTTATTTATGGTGGTTTTTAAATTGATCTAAGCTTTGTTGTTTTTATTTTGAATTTTCTTTAGGGTTGGTCAAAGATTGGCTAAAAACGTTATTTCTTGTTTAGTGCCAGTTAGTTTACAGTTTAAAGTTCGTTTAGGGTTTGGATAAATAAGGTTGGATTTGGGTTGTAGTTGGTTTAGAACTTTATTTAGGGTTGGTTCCGGGTTGCTTTGTTTTTTGAAAGTTGGTTTATAGTTTTTCCGAAGGGTTGGCTCGAAGGTTTATCTACGATTAGCTCAAAACTTTACTTATGGTGGCTGGCTAGCTTGCTTGCTTGCTTGCTTGCTTGTTGGCTTGCTTGCTTCCTTGCTTGCTTCCTCAATTGCTTGCTTGCTGCCTTCCTGGTTTGCTTGCCTGCATGCTTGCTTACTTCCTTGCTTGCTTCCTCAATTGCTTGCTTGCTGCCTTCCTGGCTTGCTTGCCTGCATGCAAAGTGGTTGGTTGCTCTGGCTTACCGGCATGGCTGGCTTGCTTGCTTGCTTGCTTGCCCCATGCTTGCATGCTTGCATGCTTGCATGCTTGCTTGCTGGTTGGCTGGCTTGGCTGGCTTGGCTGGCTTGGCTGGCTTGGCTGGCTTGGCTGGCTTGGCTGGCTTGCCTGGCTGGCTGGCTGGCTGGCTGGCCTGCCTGCCTGCCTGCCTGCCTGCTTGCTTGCTTGCTTGCTTGCTGGCTTCATTGTGAAAGGATGATCGGGGAAAAAAATCCTAGGGGAAGGGGAACAAATACCCAGGAAAAAATGGTGCGCCCGATCCAAGCCATAGAATGGAAGGGAAACCCCATTCGTGACTGCCAGCAGGACCCATCACTGTATTCTGGCTACATGTCAAGGTAGATGGATTCAATAATCGAGTTGAATGGGTTCAATGGGGCTACAATTATTGGGATTGCACTGCAAATGATAAACAGGATTAAACATCAGATTTAAACAAATGTATTGTGTATACATGTGTATATGATATTCTGGATGTCAGGATAATGCTTACAAAACATGAGTGCAAGTAAAATTAAGTAAATGCAAGTCATACTATATATATATATATACATATATATGGTGCAGCGTTGGCCACCCCCCCTCCCCCCCACCAATGGGTATGCGGTGGACAGTATCGTCGGTTTCTCTGCGTCCCCCCCCTGTGGACTGTGGTAGGTGGTGGGTATTGGTTTCTTCTCGCCCGTCCCCCCCCCCCCTGTGCATGTGGGTGGTATATGGTGTATGTTGGTCATGTTTGGTATGTTGATATGTGGTATGTTGGTATGAGGATGTATGTATGTATGTAATGGTATGTATGTAATGGTATGTATGTAATGGTATGTATGTAATGGTATGTATGTAATGGTATGTATGTAATGGTATGTATGTAATGGTATGTATGTAATGGTATGTATGTAATGGTATGTATGTAATGGTATGTATGGAATGGTATGTATGTAATGGTATGTATGTAATGGTATGTATGTAATGGTATGTATGTAATGGTATGTATGTAATGGTATGTATGTAATGGTATGTATGTAATGGTATGTATGTAATGGTATGTATGTAATGGTATGTATGTAATGGTATGTATGTATTGGTATGTATGTAATGGTATGTATGTAATGGTATGTATGTAATGGTATGTATGTAATGGTATGTATGTAATGGTATGTATGTAATTGTATGTATGTAATTGTATGTATGTAATGGTATGTATGTAATGGTATGTATGTAATGGTATGTATGTAATGGTATGTATGTAATGGTATGTATGTAATGGTATGTATGTAATGGTATGTATGTAATGGTATGTATGTAATGGTATGTATGTTAGGATTTATGTAATGGTATATGTTGTAATGGTATGTATGTAATGGTATGTATGTAATGGTATGTATGTAATGGTATGTATGTAATGGTATGTATGTAATGGTATGTATGTAATGGTATGTATGTAATGGTATGTATGTAATGGTATGTATGTAATGGTAGGTATGTAATGGTATGTATGTAATGGTATGTATGTAATGGTATGTATGTAATGGTATGTATGTAATGGTATGTATGTAATGGTATGTATGTAATGGTATGTATGTATGTATGTATGTATGTATGGAATGTAAGGTAAGGTAAGGTAATGTAAGGTAAGGTAATGTAAGGTAAGGTAATGTAAGGTAAGGTAAGGTAATGTAATGGTATGTATGTAGGTATGTAGGTAGGTAGGTAGGTATGTAGGTATGTATGTATGTATATACACCACCACAGGGGCATCATACCCCCCCCATCCCATGGGGGGGGTGGGAACACGGGACACGGGACCATATATATATATGTGTATATATATATGTATATATATATATATTCATTATTCACTAACCTGAGTTAAGGCCTTTGGGGATGAATTCCCTTATTAACTATGATTCCAGTGGGGTCGCAGTGGGGTCGTTATAATTTACCATAATTTACCCATATATATATTATATATATATATATTTAAATATATATATATATATACATTATTTAGATGATATTGTTTCATATTGTATAACACAGTAGTAAATGTAATAACTACCACTGAGATCCACTCAGCCCCATCGCCCCATTTCTCCGAGCTACCACTTGCTGGGAATCGGCAGTGGCTCTGGACCAACACCTTGATACAACAGCGAAAGGCATATAGCTGGATCAATTCGTGGATATACTTGATATAGTATATACCTGATATATATATATATACACCTCGCATATACCTGGTAGGAGATTGGACATGTTCGGAATATCGGACTTGTGCAGGTTTCATCAATGATCATGAGGATATCATCCAGCAAACATGAGTTCAGTCTAAATTTTCCACGGAAAAGGGAATCATGGAGGTGTTGCCCATCAGCTAGTTTGGTGTGGCTCATAATCATTGAGCCCTAAAATGGGATGCTTTATGTAATCTACGGTATGAGTCATACCATATGACACTCCTTTGTGGGTCTCTTTGATTCTCTTTGTGCTCCATGCTTGCGTCGTCCCCATTTCAGTAGGCAAAGAATTTTGTAAAACAAGAAAACGGCAACTGGCCAGATTTGTCTACAAAATCACCAGACAATTCGGGGAACTCAATAGAACTCCGTGGAATTTGGCTGGCGGTAAAGACGCATGATTTCCTGTCCAAACGGGTTCGCCTGAACACAAGCACCCAACATGTTCATGTTTCATCATCATTTCCCCATATTTTCCCATTGAAAACTGCAGTTTTGGGACATCCCCGTCAGATCCCCGTCAGATCCACCCAATCACCTCGAATCCTAAACCTCAACAAGAACCGAGATGACATGAAACAAGGTCTTGCCTGGCACATGGGGATTGGACCGATGCACGGCCTGAAGCACTTCCGACTTCTCCTGCGGGACGCAGTAGGAAAACCATGGGAAAATCGCTGGGCATCCATACCAAAAATTCCATTCGTTTCCCAACTGATCCAATGATATGTATTGTAGTCTTGTAATCCAATGATATCTAGTTTAATGTGCATCAATGTTCGAAATCTTGCCATGGAGACTCTTGCTTTGACACATGTCATCATTCGCGATATGTATCGATATGTATGATTCGTGGGGATCTCAACGACCCCACCAACTGTTTCCGTATGAGGAAACTTGATGAGAAAGCAGTACAAACCAGGCTACGGTCAAAAAGTAAAGCTCTCCAGGTGGATAGATAGTATCATCAGTATAAATTGTAAACATGTGTAGACCATCATTGACCCATCACAGGCAGGACATCCAGCAATTGTGGATTGTTCCCACCCTCAGCAGCTCCATACCGGACAGAGATGAACCAACTTCACGACGGCGAAGCAAGGACTTGCATTCAGCCACTGTCAGCTGCAAACCTCGGTAGTCACCTCAGTCCCACATGATTATTGGAGGCTTTTCTGGTGGCACCAAACACAAAGAGTAAAGGTTGTGGGGAAAATACGCTCCCATGGTCAGATGGTTCACCTGTGACTTATGACATTCTCTCACTTAGACAAAAAATCAGCCTAGGGGAACCTCTGATGGATCATTTCTTGTATTCAACCATCCATTCTGTGGGCCATGGCATCAGGGGCATCCTCCATAAGGCGACCCGCCACCCATGACCCCCCAAAAGCTCGGCACCATTTCGGAACAGATCCGTGGGAGGCATGAATTGCTTGCCTGGCTAGGCACCCTGGACCCACAAAAGGCTGGTGATTCGTAGGATCTGAACACACACACCCAATCTCCTAGGGGGGGATGATTTTGCGCCATCCTCAGCTGAATATCGTCGAACACTCTGCATTTTTTCCCAACCAGAATGATTCAACAGTCCTGCAACTCTGAAGTTGGGTGAACAAACAACCTGCAACTAGGAAAACTGCAGTATCTATGTAATATTATATAACCATGTATGTATATATATATATATGTGTGTGTGTTATATATATATATAGAAATATGTAGATCATATTTCCTCAACCCCAAATGGGCAAATCTTAGGGCTGGTCCCTGCAGATCGTGACCCTACCTCGCCAGCGAAGCTCGCACAGGTGTTGCCAGAGGTCCTAAACCGGTCGTTGCGGCGTTGCGGTTTAACGCGGCTGTGTCAACCACCCGGCCATGGTAGAACCATACTGGATAGATATATATATATATATGTGGCGGTTGATCTACATTCCTTTATCTGCAAGCGGCCATTCTTTGCAAATAAAAAAGTCTTTCGCGAACTCCATGTTTATCTTTCGCGGAACCTATGTTGAGCAACAACCCCTCTTATGAAGATTCATCTTCTTCATAGCCTTGTAAACATGCAGCTGGCATCACGGAATCCCCTTCTCAGGACAGGTTGTTGCCGATTAAGCAATTCTTTTGCAGGGCTTACTAGGCCACTCCCTTCAAAATGCACTTTGGCTTTCGCCCACTCCTTCGCAACACTTTTGCGAAAATATCCCCTATCCGCAGACCCTAGCCATCAGCAGGGGGCGCATCAGAGGAAAAGCAAACGCCAGGGGCCTTGGTGTTTGGCTCTCGCACAGCCTCACTTTTGGAAGCTTGGCTGCTGCGTGTGGAGCTTGTTTCTTGAGGCTTCAGAAAGCAACGTTAGGCAGTACCAGCCGCAGGTGCATGGATGTGCTTCAAGACCATGGTATTTGGCTGCGGCGAAGCCTCACCTTTGGAAGCTTGGCTGCTACCTATGAAGGGAAAGGTAAATGTGCGGTACCATTCTCCTGCCGGACCCCCGGGTGGAAGGAGGTGGTAGCCCTTAGGCCCTTAACAAATTTAAGAAGCTGTAATGTATACAATATTATACAATAATCATGATTCATAATATCCAACTTTCGCGAATAGAAAGAAATCTTTCGCGAACTCGCAAAAAAACTTTCGCGAGGGTTCCCAGCATAACATGAACGGTCTTCGCAATTAAAACTCTTTACAATGACAATGACCTTGAGATCAATCATCATATCATATATAACCACGATGGGGGTTTATAACAACACCAAAATGGAACGAAATGGCAAGTTTACTGATGATTGATCTAATTAACCAATGAATCCCCTCTTTTTCACAGCATTTTTCCATAGATTTGCCAAGAAGTGTCTCACAAACTTCCAGTCAATCCTGGGTCTTAGACCCATCCCCATATGTTCTTGCTTAGATTCTCATATGCTTCTTGCTTAGCTCCCGAATATTCAGACTTCAACCATCCCCATCCCAAAAATCATCAATAATCCCAATTTGTCATGGTGATCCATCCGTTTTCGATCCATTTTTCTGTTAAATCAATCGGACCCAGACAGGCACCCCGCGGCTCTCGCCGGTCCTCATGGGTCGCCAAGGGTCGCAGTGCTGCTTGCAGTTCGGCGGCGCGGCAGAGCTCGGGGGTGGTGAGAAAGGAAAAGACCTCTGCGGTGGCGGCCGAAGTGAAAGGATGTTGCTGAAGCATATTGGAATGACATCATCTTTCATGGAATTCCAATGTAGTTCATAGTATTGGATAAGTACACAAATTCATGGCTTATTTCTATCATTCATCTCAATAATTAATTCATCCCAATCATCCTAGGAATTGATGATCAAACCATGATGAACCATTGAAATTATTGAAGATCAATTATTGGGATGAATTATAGGAACAATCCATCGGGGATGAAGTCCAAACGTATTTTGAATATGTCAAAATCATTCAACATCGTAATTTATCATACCACTGTTAAGCAAACATATGGTTAATCAAACGCTTCTGGATGTTTATAGGGCAAATGACACTGGAGATGTGTCATTGTTGAGGAACGCATGTGTATCTCTCTCTCTCTCTCTCTGTGCGTGTGTTACCTTATATGTGTTGATCAACAATAATCCTTCAGCCATTAAAAACATAAACACAGTGTTTTTTTCTTGGAGAGGGCCAAGTAAAGTATTACACATGCATATGTTATATAAGTGGGTAAGGCATAAAAAACCAAACTTGCCCAAAAACCTGTTCACTACTAACCTTAATCCTACCAAATCCTCCGTAAATACTGCGGTAGGAAAGATCATGAGAGTATAGTATGTTTTACCATACCTTTCTTTTTTTCGAGGGTGCTATGGCTATGACAACCCAGTGCGGAGCAGTTTCCTCCCAGCTGCAGCCAGGGAACCAACAGCCAAGTCTCACCCAATAGCCTGAGAAATGTGAGTCATTCATCATCCTGAAGAAGATTCTGAAACCTCTGAACATATTAAACATCAACAGTTTGTTTCGTCACCCCAAAAAAGACAGAACAGTGAAATCCTACTCAAGGTGAATGATGATCAATCCCAGCTATTCTGATGCGAACAGAAGGGAATTCCATGACTTTTGACCATGTTGAAACTTCCAAACCCCAGTGACTGCATCTGGCTTAGGCATAGTTTTCCAACTCTTTGGACGGTGCGCTGATGCTGCAACAATGTCAGCGTTTCTGTATTTTACTACATTTTACTGCTCAGATCTGTATCCTTCAACTTGAAGGGAAACTTTTCAAAGTCTACACACACGAAAAAGATTCAACTTGCAATTTCCATGGCACCTGGATTCAGTGTTTGACGCAAGCAAGGACAACTCAGTGCTGGAAGCAG